AACCTGAAGTTACAAAGTTACTTTGCCCTTTTGCCACCTGCAGTGTTGTCTGCCTCTGTGTTTTGGCATGACATACTCAAAAATACATGAGAAGAAAACTTCATCCATTAGTGTTTCTGACTTGGAAGGAGGAAGGAAAAAAAGGTGAAACCGTTTTTTACTTTGAAATTTCTCCCTTCCCCAAAGGCTTGGAGAATTGAAACTTTATCTCTGAAAATACTGATTTCCTATTTCATAACTTCTGGCAATTTTTTCTCAATTAAAATAAAGGAATAATGATTATGGAGTTTAGTCAAAATCTCACTGCCCAGTAATCTGCAAACCAGCGTTGCAGAACCCACAGCAATAGAGCAACAAACGTATTTCCTCGGGGACATTATTAAACACCCTGCATATTTATTATCTCAAAATGGGAGCAGGTCCAGATTTCTAAGGCCACTTTTTCCCTTCCTCTTCCTGAGCTGTAATTCAGACCAGCATATAAATATTTCACTTGATGTTTCTGCAGAAATATCAATGATATAAAATTGCTAGAAACAAAAGAACATGAAACAGCAGAAGGAAGGAATGGCTTGGCAAGATTGTCAGCCTTAAAGGGCAAGATTAATTTATAATCCTTCTAGATTCTGGGTGTACAAATACAAATTTGCAAAGCATGTAGCTTATAACAAACATTGTGTAGCTCTGCAAGTTTACATATGCTACTGTCACTAATGTGAGACAGCCTTGAAATTGGATTTTTAGGGATTTTTTTTCTTATGGGGAAATAAGGTAGTGATAGTAACAAGGAGTTTCCATACACACGTGTGTGTGTATATATATAAATATACATATAAATTTGGAAAGTCGAGGAATTCCAACTGTGTGACTAAGCAGGGTTCTGGGCAGGATACCCAGATATTTTCCTGAGGAGATTTTTTCCCTTGGTTTAAAATCCTGGGAAAAAGGAGGACTGTAGAAAGGAATGGGAGGGGAAACAACCTGAAAGTAGTCTATTTTATAATGACTTTACTATGGCTGATAAAAAGGACTGACTAATTGGAAAATAATGTGTGATGGCTATCTGGTATTGTAAGGGTTGTTGTGAAATAAGCATGTTCTATGCCACTCAATGGAATATGGCGCTTTTTTATTTATTTTTTTATAAGTTTGTAGCTGTTTTATCAATTTAACTGAAAAAAGATATATAATTAAATGAAATGTCAAATTCTAGATGTAGAGTGAATACAGTAGCAATGGAATGATAGAAACTTTAAGTAGTGGAATAGAAGACAGTAAAGATAAGATAGAAACTGGCAAGGACATGAGTAGGTTTTCCAGGGTTTAACACAAGAAGGGCATGGTGTTTTCTGAATGATTGAAATAATATTTTATAGTTATATATTATATATTACCATGAACCATATTTTATCATTATATATTATTGGCAGGGAATATACCTCGACATTAAGTAAAAGATCTAAAGGGCTTATGTGGTTTTAGAATGATTTTAAATTTGTAATATGGCCTGTAACTTCATGTTTTCTGCAGTGCAGG